AATGAAAAATACATAAGAAGCCAAGAATATAATTTTTCTGGATTAGATTTTTTGTTGTTTGTTCTACAAATTTGGAGAGAAGATATGCATCCACTTCATTAACAATGTTGATCTATTTGCTCCGTTTATATCTCTTTTAGTTGTAATCGCATTCTCAACTTGTAAAATCCATTCAGCAATTTCTTTTTCGAATCGGTTATCAAGTTATGTTTTGACAAATTTACAAATTTTTCTACAGTTTACATTTATAAAAATTATCATTTAAAAAACATATGACAAAATATTATACTGTCAAAATAAAATTATTTAAATAAATAAATACAAAATATTAATACATTCATATGGTTTCACTAACTCCTTGGTGTGCATTGCAAGAAATGCATCAACAATATTTTCAAAATTCCTGGGCTAATTAGAATAGCATACACCAATTTTGGTTAGTCCTCCTATTGGGTGACTTTTAAACCCAAAAGGTAATGTCGTTGTTTTTTCTTTCTGGCTTTTTTGATGCCTAAGTTGAATTAGTCGAAGGGAATGATGTTTTTTTTCTTTACTTTATTGAGTGCTCCTTGTCATCTCGCTCCTTCCCATGGCCTGAAAAAAATTCTCATTCATCCAATGATATTTATAATTATAAATGTCTATTAATTATTCTAAAAAATTAGACCTACTCAATTTACTTTTTCATAATCTGCTCATACTTGTGCTTTTGAGCAATCCTTATTAAAGAATATAAAAGTGAAATAAATACCTTCGAGCGAGCAGGTGGGAGGTCCTTGAAGAATCCTTTGTACTTTTTCCACACCACGCATGGCCACAACCTTTTTCTCCATAGACGCTATCCCTCTTCTCATCTTCTTCGCCTCCACTTCCATGGCCTTTGTCAATGTTTCCACCTTCTCTCCCAACATTTATCATCCAATAAAAAATACCCGATATCTCAACATGTTGATCTCAGTTCTATATCTACCAAGCTATCAAGTGAGTGACTCACCTTTATGGCTTCATCCTTATCTTTAATGCTCTGTTCTTTCTCCGGCTATGCATCACGGTTATGCGCGTCCTCTATGAAAGCATAACCTTTAGGTTTATTGGTCAGATTGTCTGTCATCGGTTGAACCTGAAAAAACTCAGAAAAAGATATCATAAATCTTCGGCAAACTAACAGTTTTAATAGACCATACCTAATAAACAGGCGATTCTATAGATGAAAAGGAAGGAATAGTGAGTCGTGGTCAAGATAACAATTGTAGAAGATAGTATTATATAGGTGCAATACTCAAACGTACTGACAATGAGAATATTAAATAAGACGTTTGAGTGTCTTGCCACTGTTTTTGGTTTTAATTTTTTACCCACTATATATTAACTACACATGTTGAAGACTAATTAAAGTCTTTCATTTATTACTATACAACGTGTATGAGCGTTTTTTTATATATAATAGGAAAGGGCGTTTTACCTTTTTTTTATATCCATCACCTCAAGAATTTATTTAAGATGTTATTTTGATATTTTTATTTAGATAAAACCTTCAAAATAACATTTAAATATAAGTGGAATCACTAAATAAACTTTATTAAAATAATTAACTATTTTATTTTAAAAATTATAATAATATGTTATTTAAAATTTTTAAGAATTAACTTTTTGTCTTTTTAATTTTTATATTTATATATAAAATTAGTGTTAATCTAAATGTATATATATGCATAAAAATTAATTATAATTATAATAATTATAATTGTAATTATGAAAGTTCCCAATTAAATCAATAAAAATTAAAACAAAATTGTCACTGGATGATGACATGGAGATGAGGTGGCTTCACCACAATCCTTTAAACTCCTTTATTAATATATATAGATTTGATGGATGTAAATTTTATTTTAATATTTTGTAACCAAATATTTAATTAACTAACCTTGGAAATCAACCATTATATATATAAGCCCAAGCCCAGTGGCATTGGACGGGCCGACGGATCTTGGCCACAACAGTAGTTGCATATTCATATAACTTTTTAAAAGTAAATTTTGGGATTTTATTTTATTTTTTGTTATTCTTATCTCCGTTAACATTTGGTTTTTTAAAATTTTATATCCATTCGAATTTTATAATAACTATGAGTTATTCGATTCATATAAGTTTAGTTTATACATCCAAACAGAAACGTATATCCTTAACAAATACTATAATATACTTTTAGGAAAAACAAAAAATAAAACTTTTACCCGTCATGCGGTGGTCGGGTGGTAGGTACCTCGAACTAGGGTGTCAATCGGCCGGTCGAATCCGATCCGACCAGAGCTCATATTCGGTCCGAGGATTTTGGGTTCGGACTTGGATCGGTCTAATTTTTTCGGATCTAAGTAGTTAAGTCCGAAGTCCGACCCCATATATACCGGGTTCAGGTCGGCCGCATAAATCCTTTGTAATTTGTTTTTTAAATATCGGGTTTTTGGACCGGTCTGACTCAAATCTAAAGCCCGATTCGAGTCCGACCTGAAAGTCCGATTTTTTTTGTCGAAAAACTTAAGACCGAACCCCGCTAATTTTCGGATTAGACCGGACTGGACTTTGGATCTTGGACCCAAATTGATACCCTGTCTCGAACGTCTATGTGTCTTTAGAGGGGGATAGCCGATTCGAATCTATAACAAGATACGAAAGATATTATTAATTACAGGTACAACAAGATTATTCCGAATTTAGATTTGATTTAGTTAAGTCAAAAATACGGTAAACCACTCATCGTTATTAAAAAAAAAAAACTTTTAGCTGTTGCAGAGAATCTATCTTTATTACATTTTGTGTAAGTTTGTTTTTTCCTGTCTCTCATATTTTTTTTAGAGAATATATCCCATTATTTTCCTGATTTTTGGTCATCCTCTTGATCAACTAAATTATGTATATAAAAAATAAATATTTAATTTATATCCCGCTGCGCATAATTGAAATTATTATGCAAACTTTTGCAATATAAAAATTTATTATTTTTTAGGGATTGAATTGATAATTGTGACTATAAAATTTAGTAGTAATAGATCGGGTATTTGAGATGTTCTCCACGCCATCAATTTAATTTTATATAAAAAAAATTAGTGAAAAATATAATAGATTTTATAATTTGTATACAAATTAAGTACATAAATATGACGCTTGTCACAAAAATTAAAACCAAAGACATATTCTCTACTCAACAGTCAAAATTAATAATTAATTATTTTATAATAAATTTAAAATAAAATATTTTTTATCAAGTGATTAAATTTTGTTTTTTTTTTCCTAAATTTTGATTACTCTTCTAAAACTTCTCTCCAAAATTTAGTAGAAAGTATACTATTACTTAGTACAAACAATGCATAGCATGATTTGGTATGAAATATAAAATATTTATCTCAAAATGTGTAAAATTTATCGGATAAATTACCGTTACCGCTTTATGACACATTGACACCTCCTCTATCTACGCCTGAAATCAAACTTTGTGTGACACATTAATCCTATTTTATCTTCTATAATAATAAATTTGGATTACGTATTACTATATATATATATAATTGAGGTTATATTGACAAATAAATTGACCAAGATAAAACATCTAAAAATTTATTGATTGAATATATATATATATATATATATATATATATTATCACATTTAATTTGGAAATTAAATGTTTAAAAAGACATGAAATCAGAAGTTATAACAACCGAGTTGCCTTGGTTAGAGATTTTCCCAATGCGGCAGACTCCCGGAAAGATACCACTTGTTTATAATTATCAAATTCTTTATTAGAAAGGGGGAAATTAAAAAAAAAACACATGAATTTTCCATTAAAAAAAAACACTAAATATTTTTTCTTTTCAAATAAATATTAAGTAAATATAAAAAAAATACTAAACCTTTTAATTGATTTAAAAAATATATATATTAACTATCTACGATACGATGGTAAACAAATCAACCAGAATTATTTGAAAAAAATATATTAACTATCTACGGTAATAGGAATATCGACCATTTGAGACAGTGGCAAAAATTAACGAAGACTATGCGGAATGGCGAGCTACCACAGTGTGTAATGAAATACAAATAAATCTTACGAGTCGGAAAATTATCCCGTGGATAAATCCTCCGATGGGTATGGTGAAATGTAATGTGGATGGATCGTGGAAAGCTCAAGATGATTTTTGTGGTATGTGATGGTTACTAAGAGATCATGAGGGTAAAGTTATTTGTTGGGGTGTCCGAGCAATACGGGCTCCTGAATCCCCGATGGAGGTAGAACTTTCCGGACTACTATGGGCGATGAAATGCATGTTACAAAGAGGTTGTAGGTCTATGCTATTGGAGATGGATGCGAAAGAAGTTGTAGAAGAGATCAATAACAATAAGAAGTCGTTAAGTTGTCAGAGATATACTCAAGAAATTGAAGTGTTTTGGAAGATGTTTCCGAGTATCAGTTTGGCTCATATACAAAGGAATAGTAATTCTCCGGCGGATGCGATTGCAAAATTTGCGTTGAATCGTAAATCTCTTTTTGTATTATGTTCAAACTCATATCCTGAATGGCTTTCTCGGATGGTAGCGAATGATTGTCATTCAACTTATTAATTTAATCTATTAATTTTTGGAAGAAAAAAAACTATCTACGGTAATAAAAAATCAACTAGAATTATTTGAAGTGTTTGTATTTTTTTTATATGATGTTAGTTTATTTTGATAATTTAGAAGAGTTAAGTATTTTTTATAACTTAAAAGATTTTAATGTTATTTGATAAAATTAAAAAATGTAATGTTTTTTTAAAATTGAAATTTTTAGTATTTTTTTTAGGATTTTCTCAAATGGAACTGGTTCGATTGGTTTGTACCAACCGATTCGATTGGTTTATATGATTTCATATATATATGAAATCATATATATATATATATCCACACACTTTTTTAGAAGAAAAATGAAGAAATCACGAAAATTTTAATATACGTAAACCCAAGTGTTCACGCCACAGCTTAACAGCCGAAGACAACCAAAGCTCTCTCTCTCCCTCCCTCTTTTTTCTTTTTCTTTTTTTTTTCCCGGAAAATAATTTCTTCGCATGAAATTGGAGCAAATTCATCGGAGTTTCGTCAACGAATAATTCGCCGTCTTCTCGTCCCCTCCAGATTTTGAGCAGACCTCCGCCATGCCACGAGAGCTTCGATTTTAGGTCTCTGAGGCGGATTACAGAAACCCTAGGATTTCACCGCCATGGAAATCGTGGAATCTCGTTCGAATGATGTTGCCGAGAGGGAAGGAAAGCGAATCCAGAAGGACAGTAGCATTCGTGTGAAGAGGAAGACTTTGCAGGCTGTGCTCGAGGAGTGTCAGAGAGCTCTGGAGTTGTTAAATCAGGCCGATGTTAGTCCTGACGACGACTACGACAACGCCGCCGGAGATGATGGCGGCGATGGCGTCGGAAATCGTGATGGCCCACCGGAGGAGGAATCGATCGGGGAAGAAGAATTGTCCTCATCTGATCGTGGAGATCCTGAAGCTGATGAAGTATGCATCCCTCTCTCTCTCTTTGTAGGATCTGAAACTGAGATAGACTTTGTTATAGAGAACCAAACATGAAGAACCCATAGGGAAATATGGGAATTGTCAGTGATATGGAAACATACCTCTTCCGCGTGTGAGTGCGTGAATTTCGAAGACTGGAGTTAATTTGATCGATAAATGGAAGAAAAACGAACTGACCTTTTAATGATTCCACACCCTTGCTCATATGAATCTGGTTATTCCATTTGCTGTTGTTCGACGCGATTCTTCTTTTGCTTAGACTTGCGTTTGAAGATTGTTTTGGTTCATGCGATGTTAAAGAAAATCCTGCAACCTCTCAAATGCAAGAATTAGGGTTCAAAGTGCTGAAGGCGATGCTGTTCTGCGATCAGAGCATGATTTGAGTGGATTAATTTGTTTTTGAGGATATTCAATAGTGTCTTCAGTCTTCACCTTATATTTTCCTGAACAAGCGTCCGCAAGTCCTATTTCCTTGGAACAAAAGTCCGATCAGAGCATAAAATTTCCCCGATCACGAATGCCTGTTTCATCTTGAATAGCTTGTTTAATGCATTCATCAGTGCATGTATTCTTGTGGTTTGCTGCTCCATAGACTACCATTGGCTTGATACCCATTTGTTTCTGAAAATGCCTTGGCCGCTATAACTGATACAAGAGCTTCCTGTGTTGCGCAGTTGTATGATCTCATCAAATCTAGAGTTGAATGCCGTGACTTTCTCGAAAGGTTAGAATCAGCTCAGGTCTCAGTTCCACAGCATGTAACTGGTAAGCCTTCTGCACTTTCTTTAATCAAGACAATGCGTAAGCTCATCGTAGCAATGTGTTGCTCCTTCTGGGCTATATTCTTGTATAATGTATTGCAGAAGATGGTAGCTCTTGGGATGTAGTTAGTGAAGATGATCTTTGGGGTGAGAAAAATACGGGTCAACCCGAGGAAGATTATGTGCTGGTTAAGCAAGAAGATATAGTAGATGGCATTGCAAGTTTTATGGCTACATATCTATTATCCCTTAAGCAGACAAAGGTATGTACTGCCAAGCTTGTACTTGCTCTGTCTAGTAGCACAATAAACCGTCATGTGATCGTTACTCAAATGCTAATCTTTATGCAGGACTTGACCCCTGATCAGCTTCAGAAAGGTATCCTGAGATTGCCTCTTTTTCCAAACCGGACTTTTACTTCTGCATATTGCAACTAGGGTTTTCTTGCATTTACATAAAACAGTAGAATGTGTTTCGGTTGCTTTGGGGGTTTTTTGGCAATGGTATATCAGAATAATCTCAAACTTAAGGTTCAAATCATATTGTAGCCCTCGGTAGGACGTTTTCAGTGAAGAAGAGAAAGGGAAAGCTCCGAAGAGCCTGGGATGGGAGTAAAGTCGTTTACAACGTAGCATCATGGAGCGCAACTGTTATAGGGTACACTAATCGAACTCTCATCTTTTGGAAATGCACTAATTTCTAGCATGTCCGGGCTTTTTTAATCATTCTCGCCAATCTTACTTTGTTCCTGTCATTCACAGGATATACCAAAACCCGGTAATCCTCAGGGTTGCCTCGAAGGCCTTCTGGGCATCGTGTCAGGTCATATCTAAGCTTGTCTGATTGATACAGACACTTGCAGAATGGACTTCATCTTCATGCCTGAATTTGCCTATTCGGGTTTGTACTACTTCGTGGTGCTGATAAGATACAGCCTTAGATTCCGCAATGTTTTCATAACTCTTAAATTTATTCAATGTTGGTATGATCTCTCTGTAAATAGCATCCGTTTCTATATGAGCACGCGGGTTATGATTTGGTCGTATCAGATGAAATGGCACGTGTTCGGATTATACACCATACTGTAATGGCAGAACATCAAAAAGGCTGTCTGAAGATTTCAGATTTTCAGACAGACGAGATCAAATACAGGATCTGTCTGTTGCCTTATGTTCAGTAGTAGAAAGACTTGCCCTTGTTATTTGCTGTCTTTGCAGAGAAATGTATCCGACTTCCGTGATCGATCTCGGAGGCCCGAGGCCGTGCTCCCGAACGTGGGCATCGGAAAATTACTCGAAATGCTTCTTTTCGGTAAGTAGGATCTGAAAGTAGGCACAAGTAATGCCCACCGGTTTAGATGATTGTGAGACTGTTCGATGACTCTGCATCTTTGCCTCTGCCGTCTGATTCTCCAGAGTTTGAAGTTCGATATCTGATTTGTTGGTTTTGGATATCCAAGGTTTTACATATTTAAAAAAAAAGAGCCAAATATCCATCGTATAGTCAACAATAAAAATCACGAGACCCTAATTGGAGTATAAATAAAATTCAATTTAAATTCTAATATGAAAATGATTCAGACACGTACCCTCAAGGGTAAGTGTGTGTGCCAATGTACATCTGCTGTCGTCGTTATATAATTTAATCGAGCATTGGTTGCTATTGAATTGCGTCGGTCCAAAATTTTAAATTAAAAATTGTAACTAAAGGGCTCAGAAGATTCGGCGGATGTTCCGTGTGTCTGCTCTTCCTGTCTTCGCCAAGGCGTCTCAGGCCTTTGCACATGCCTACTCTCATACATACAGCATTATATATATATATATATAATCATATATATATATATATAAAAATATATTAGCGATACTAATAGTAATAAAAAATTAAAATAAGGTAAAATAAAATATTATTTTACTTTTATTGGATATATCTGTACATCTAATATTATTTTTTATTTTACGAATTAATTTAAATAATCAAGATTAATATGACGTCATTATCATACATATAGCTTTGATGCTTGTCAGTAACATACTCGTATCATCTAATCAATTAATGTTCGTAAAATTACAATAGTCAAACATAAAAGATGCGAATGGCCAATAATTTTTTAGAAGTTATTATTTTAGTGTTAGATGGTAATGAATTTCGTTGAGATTTTAATAATTGACGTTTTCATTTAAAAAAAAAGGTTTTATATATTTATTGGGTACTTTTGTAGCAATTTTATGTATTTTGATGAGATACTTTTATAATTTAAAAAATAAAATAAGTAAAAACGGATATTCGGTGCGTTTATAATCAGTACTTTTTATGTATAATACGGATGTACGATAATATTTTAAAATTTTATGTATTTACATAAATTTTTAAATTAGTTTATATATTTATATAAAACGTATAGGTTTCTTTTTAATTTCAAAATTTATGTATTTATTTTGAAAGTTTTAACGGTTAAATGATATATAGGTTACTTCGTCTTTGAAAGGTATTCATATTATTTTGTTATTTTGTTGACATGAATCGTGAGGTGGTCTTACGCTTATGAATTTTTTTTAAAAAAAAAATGAATTATTATAACTTTGGATAAAAATATTTATACTTATAAAGGCTAATGTAGACAACCAGCTAGCATACGAATCAAATTGTTCTTCGACACGACAAATTACAGCACTTGTTTAGTGGCATCTCTGATCCCGAGTTCATGTTGTACTTTGTGTTTTAATTCAGCCTTTGGTGCGTTATTAAATCTTTTTTTTGTATTTAATATTAATTTGTATCCACATGATTAAAAATAATAGCTGGGTTGTGAATCTCAATGGTCATGTTTGGATTTATTTGATCGGAATTGTTAGATACCTGGAATTATTGGGATACAGTTTTTATATCAATTTTTCTTTTTATTGAAATATTTGTTTTCTAAAATAATTTGAAGTTTTCTGGTTTGTTCTCGTATATAAGTAAAATTATTTTCTGAAAAAAATTCGAAATATTTTTCATTTACCTTTTAAAATTATTTCTATTAATGTGGCTAATTTTAAGCTTTGAATTATTTTAATTTATTAAGATTCTGATTTTTTAAATTGTTTATTATAAATCAATTTAAAAAGTAAGAGATGTTAACTAATAACAAGTATACAATAAAAAAAAATATTAAATATATTAATGATCAGAAATTTTAAACATAGATTTTTTTCTTTATTACTTTTAGGTCGGTTCCAATTCGTATTTTTTTAATATAGATTAAGAGTTATAAAATTATTTTGAAAATGTTTACAAAATCCAAGTTTTTATATTATGAGTATCTTAATATTAATAGATATCCTAAACCGGATATCGGAAATATGTAAATATATAATCAGATTCTGAACTTGAATACCCGAAATATTTAAATAGGGTAATTAATTTTTAAATCTTTTGATCGGAATATCCAATTCGTGACGATCCCTTATTATAAAAGGATTTACGTAATATTATTTTAGGTTTATGAAATATTAAATAACATATAACGTTATCGGATGAAACAACTAAACAACATTATATAAAAAATATCTATCTTTTTGCTATTTTGATTTCAATTCATACCTTTCTCCATATATAACTCTGCGACTTATGTGATCAGAATTTGGTCACATATTGGTCTTATTAATTATAACGTTAAATTTATGATTATCACACTAATTCGCTATGTTTATCATTTGTATATCTCACTAATCATTTGATTAAAACACTATAAATTTAACGTTATGACCAATATGATCAACATGTGACCACACTATCAGGTTACGTGGGTACACTACAAAAAAACAGTTATATAGCGACGGAAAAATCCGTCGCAAATATAAAGGAAATCCGTCGCAATTAAGAATTTGCGACGGAATGCGACGGACTTATTTCCGTCGGTATAACGCTGTCGCAAACGTATAACGGTCGTTAATCCGTCGCAAAAGTGCGACGGAAAAAATCTGCGTTTTGCGAATTACATACATACAAATATACATACATATATATACACATATTTTCATATACACAAATACACATACACATTCACACATATACACATATATACATGTATATATACACATACATAAATACTCATACACATATACATTTCACAAACACATACACATACACATATACATTTCACAAACACATACACATACATATAAACACACACATATACACATATTCATATACACATACAATCACATATACATACACATACATATTCAAATTCACATATATATACACATACACATACATAAACACACACACATACACATTCACACATACATACACATTCACTTACACACATATATAAACACACACATACACATTCACACATATATATACACATTCACTTACACACACATACACATACATAAACACATACAAATACATCAAACACACACATATATATACATAAATAGATATATATTACCTTATGGGAGGAATTTGGCGATCTTTGGAGGATTTAGAAAAAAAAATCGATTTTATTTTTTTTTTCTGAAAATTTTTGAAGTCTGATGAAGAAGACGACTCGTGGTTTTATATTGCGTTTTGCGACGGAATTTTCCGTCGCAATCCGTAACAAAATAAAATTAATTTACGCGCCCAAAATTCAAAAAATTTCGTCGAAAAATGAAACCAAATACATTGCGACGGAATATTCCGTCGCAATCCGTCGCAATTTTTATTTTCCGTCGCAAATCATCTATTTCTTTGTTGTGACAGAATTATCCGTCGCAAACCGTAGCAAATTGCGACGGATTTTGCGATTGTTTGCGACGGATAATTTTTTTCCACATTCTGTCGTAAAATCGTCACATTCCGTCGCAATTTTCTGTGCGACGGAAATTTCCGTCGCAAATTTCGTCGCTATATGCAGGTTTTTTTGTAGTGGTAATACGGTCACAACTGAAAAAAGGTATATGTTGAAGTCAAAATAGCAAATGGATGATATTTTTTATAATGCCCCAACTAAACACAAATGTCTAAGAGAAAATTAAATTTCGACCCAACTTGGGTAGTTCAACCGTTGAAATGGGATCAACCATATATCGAGTAATCCTAATGTGGATGGATTTGGTCAGGGGATGCGAAAATAGTACTTCAAGATCCATTTCGTGTCCAAGAATTTTTGTTCTTCTTAGGATGAATTTGTTTTGTAAAGCTTTGTCTCATCTCGAGTTCGAACCCCAAATTGGGGAAGAGAACGTATATTATAATCACATGGTTTGATCCCAGTCCCTGGATTAGTCTAGATCTCGGTGTAGGACTCCCGATTACCTAAAAAAAATTATATTCCGAATTGGCCAATTTCATTTTTATCGTAATGGGTTGACATAGTTTGCAGTGCATGATAATATTATTTTATGATCCAAAAATTTATCGGATTTTTGATCCAAATATATCTTTAAGGATCGAAAAAATTTATGTAAATACTGTTGGAAATATAACATTTTAATGGCCCATGTAATATTGGATTTTTTAACTTCAATATGATCTTTACTACATTGATGGAAATGAGTTTATTATGGTGTTGATGTTTATGGGTATTTAAGTTTATTCTCGTCTCCTTACCCTATAAATAATGAACATTTGGTTCATATTTTTCATCCATCGAAAAACTATCACAGTTAGGGTGAAAAGAGAGAAAACAAATAACGAAACTACTTATTTGTTCTTCCAAATTATTCCGCTGCAAAATGGATTTAGAATTTTCGAATTGTGTGAATTATATAAAACCGTATTCAATTCTGATGGATTTTTATAAAGTTATCGAAAACAATCAGATTATATTTTTATAAATACCTCTATCCAAATAGAGACTCAAAACTAAGTGCGTAAGATCTTTTACTTCTAATGTGTATACAAAAAGTCTGATGGGACATATGTCGATCCCCGTGCGGAATGAGTTGTAAGCACGGTAACTCAACGACTCACCCAACTCTCGCAAAATGTTGGCGATTCAGCGGGTTCTTCATCCGGTCTCTCTGCATCGGACCAAGATCGTTGTTATGTGGAGGTAAAACTTAAAATAATTCATTTTTAAATATTATATTTTAATATTTTATTTCAATTTTAAATATTTTTTTATTTTTTAGTCGGTCTCTCCAAA